CTAATACAAAATTTTAATTTTTTTTTACAGGTCAACTTTGTAGTGTGCCAACTCTTTGCCTTGCTAGCAGCCATTTGGTTTCGAACTTATCTACGTTCAAGCAAAACTAGCTCTTTTATAAGACATGTAGTTGCTACCCTTTTGGGCCTTTATCTTGCACTTTTTTGCTTTGGATGGTAAGTAATTTAGATCATTTTAAAATGAAGACTATTTGGATATATTTGAGAATTGAGTGTGTAGAAAGATACATTATGTAGGATTTTGTTCTTATATTTATTTAAGAAGTTTTCTCTCAGGGTCAACTTTAAAAATTTTTGTTTTTAAAGAAGGGGAATAAATAAAAGATGGGGAATGGGCTCTTTTAGTATGGTCTTAGGGGATTTACTATTTATAATTTATGAAAAAGAACAGATGAAAAAGGATATAGAGACATTTTATTCTGTCATGAATAGTTCTTTTCATCTATTTTGTATATTTTTTTAAAATCTAAGGCAGATAAACAATTTAAAATTTTTTTTTTGCTTGTTTTTTCTCTGTTCAAGTAGCTTTTAAGAGTCTGGTAAAGCCCATAGGGTAGAACTCTATTGCCATTTTTTAGATTTTACCATTAGCGAAAAGAGGCCTTTTGTTGGTTCATTTGTTCTTGGTGAGGAAGAATTATTTATAATGGATTGCTTTTATTTTGACCCTTCTGAGAGAGTGTGTGTTTTCTTCAGTTAGCGCCCTTTCTCAGTTGTCAGGACCACCCTGAGAGCTTTAACTACAGCAATACTGTACCTCCTGTTTGTTAAAGGTCACTGTGGTGTTGTGCATGACAAGGAGTCAGGAGAAGAGCTCTCTGTCTTGGCAGCAGAACTCTTAATGGAAGCGCTTCTTTGTGATTTCTTCCTGAGTTTTCCCTCCTGAATTAGTGTTCATGCTGCTTGCTCACTGGCTCTGGTCTTCACCCACTCACAGATAAGGATTTCTAAGTTTGCTCTACTGCACATTGTTGTTTGAGATGAAAATTCCCTAAGTAGATGAAAATGCACTCACTCGGTCTGTGCTTTAGTAGTTTTTGTTGTGGGTGTAGAATCTGTGGGACTTTGGCAATACTTCTGTGTTTGTTCTATGATGTTTTTGATTATTATGAGGGCTGGAATACACTATTTCTTAATCTAATTTTTGCCTCTGGTACTTGCAAATGTGTCCTAGAAACTTGTGAAAAAATCTGTTAGGGGTAACTTAATTCAATCTCTACCATATTACCATACTGCCTCTCACAGGCACTGCCCATGGTAGATAGCGTTTAGTATTGAGATTTAAATATGATGTCTTAAGTAAGATCTAAGTATGGTCTTGCTTTCTCAATATCAAATTTGTATCATCAGTTTTTTTAGGTGTCTCAGGTGATACTGTTTAAACGTCTCATAAATCATGCTATGGGGTAGTGTATATATTTTTAAACTTTTTATTAAGGAGCTTTTCAGACACAGAAGTACAAAGAGTAATGTAATAAACCCTCATACACCCATTACCTGTAGCTTCAACAGTTATTAAAATTTCACCATTCTTATTTTATCCTTTTTCCACCTTATTTTTCAAGAATATTTTGAAGTGTACCCAAGTCTATACATTTCATCCGTAAATAACTTCAGTATTCAGTATATATTTGGGTAGTGTATTTTCAAGAAGGGTTGGGGAAGGGTTGTAGTTCAGATTGGGCAACTCCAGGGGACACCACTGGCTTTGTGCTCTGTAGAAACAGAGTAGAAGATTAAAATGTAAATAATATCTCCTACAGTTGTGTAACATATGTTGGTACTGCCAAAGATGAGGATGAATCTCTTTGCTTACAAATCTTCTACTGAGGAAGTGTTCTCTTTTGCTGTGAAGCTTTCTTGGATGCTTTATAACACAGTGTCATAAGTAACTTGACACCGTGTCATAATGTCAAGCAGTCCTAAGTGTTTCAAATTATACATGATAACCAGGATTTCTGTTTTTAAAAATGAGTTCTCTGTTCTTTTCTTAAAGGAGAAGTCTTTTTGTATTCCTTTCTTTGGGACTAGGGATAGTTTATGCCTTTCAGCACTTTGTTTTTAGGCTCAAAGGCAGTCATATCTGCTCTTGGTTTTCACAACCTTCCTTTTGGAAAACATGTTAGTACTCTGTAAATATACAGGCATACCTCAGAGATATTTGTCGGTTCCATTCTAGATCACCAGAATAAAAGGATTATTGTAATAAAGTGAGTCACATGAATATGTTTGGTTTCCAGTGCATGTAAAAGTTATGTTTACACTATATTGTAGCCTAAAGTGTGCAACAGCATTATGTCTAGGAAAACAACATATATTTGTTAATTTAAAAAAACCAGTTTATTCCTAAAAAATGCTAATGATCATCTGAGCCTTCAGAATCTTTTTGCTGGTGGAGGGTCTTTTTTTTTCACACAGAGTCTCACTCTGTTGCCCAGGCTAGAGTGAGTGCCCTGGCATCAGCCTAGCTCACTGCAACCTCAAACTCCTGGGCTCAAGTGATCCTCCTGCCTCAGCCTCCTGAGTAGCTGGGACTACAGGCATGTGCCACCATGCCTGGCTAATTTTTTTTCTATTTTTAGTTGCACGGCTAATTTCTTTCTATTCTTGGTAGAGACAGGGTCTCACTCTTGCTGAGGCTGGTCTTGCTCTTGCTGAGGCTGGTCTTGAACTCCTGAGCTCAAGTGAACTCCTGAGCTCAAGCGATCCTCCTGCCTCAGCCTCCGAGAGTGGCTGGTGGAAGGTCTTGCCTCAATGTTAATGACTGCTGACTGATGAGGGTAGGGCGGTGATTGCTGACAGTTGGGGTGACTATGGCAATTTCTTTTAATAAGACAACGATGAAGTTTGCCATGTTGATTGACTCTTCCTTTCACAAAAGATTTCTTTGTGGAGTGCAATGCTTTTATATTTGATAGCATTTTACCCACAGTAGAACTTCTTTCAAAATTGGGGTCAGTTCTCTCAAACTCTGCCATTGCTTTGTCAACTAAATTATGTAATATTCCAAAACCCTTTGTTGTCATTTCAACAGTGTTCACAGCATCTTCATCAGGAGTAGACTCCATCTCAAGAAACTACTTTCTTTGCTCATCCATAGGAAACAGCTCCTCATCTGTTCAAGTTTGATCATGAGATTGCAGCAATTCAGTCACATCTTCAGGCTCCACTTCTAATTCTAGTTCTCTTGCTGTTTCTACCACATCTGCAGTTACTTCCTCCACTGAAGTTTTGAACCCCTCAAAGTCATCCTTGAAGGTTGGAATCAGCTTCTTCCAAACTTGTCAATGTTGGTATTTTGACTTCCTCCCATGAATCATAAATGTCCTTAATGACATCTGGAATGGTGACTGCTTTCCAGAAAGTTTTCGATTTACTTTGTCCAGACTCATCAGAGGAATCACTATCCATGGCAGCTATAGCCTTACAAAATGCACTTCTTAAATAATAAGACTTGAAAATTGAAGTTACTCCTTGATTCATGGGCTAAGGAATGAATGTTGTGTTAGCAGCCATGAAAACAGCATTCACCTCCTTGTACATCTCCATTGGAGCTCTTGGGTGACGAGGTGCACTGTCAGTGTGCAGTAATATTTTTGAAGGAATCTTTTTCTGAGCAGTAGGTCTCAACTGTGGCCTTATACTAGTCCAATAAACCATGCTGCAAACAGAGGTGCTGTCATTCAGACTTGGTGGTTCCATTTATAGGGCACAGGAAGAGTAGATTTAGCATAATTCTTAAGGGCCCTAGGATTTTTGGAATGACTAATGAGTACTGGCTTCAAGTTAAAGCCAGAGGCTGCATTAGCCCCTAACAAGAGAGTCAGCTTGTCCTTTGAAGCTTTCAAGCCAGGCACTGACTTCTCCTCTCTAGCTATGAAAGTCCTAGATGGCATCTTATTCCAATAGAAGGTTCTTTTGTCTACATGGAAAATCTGTTGTTTAGTGTAACCAACTTTATCGATTACCTAGATCACGTACTGCAGCTTTTACATTTAGCACTTGCCTCTTCACCTTGCACTTTTATGTAGTGGAGACCACTTCTTCGCTTAAACCTCATGAACCAGCCTCTGCTAGCTTCAAGATGTTCTTTTGTAGCTTCCTCACTTCTCTCAGCCTTCACAGAATTGAAGAGAAATTGGGACTTGCTCTGGATTAGGTTTTGGCTTAAGGGAATGTTGTGACTGGTTTGATCTTCTATCCAGGTCACTAAAACTTTCTCCGTATCAGCAATAAGACTGTTTTGCTTTCTTATCATTTGTATGCTCACTGGAGTAGCACTTTCACTTTACTTCAAGAACTTTTCCTTTGCATTCACAACTTGGCTAACTGGTGCAGGAGGCCTAGCTATTGGCCTGTCTTGGTTTTTGACATGCCTTCCTCACTAAGCTTAATAATTTGTAGCTTTTGATTTTAAGTGAGACATGTGGGACTCTTCCCTTCCTTTTTTTTTTTTTTTTTTGAGACAGAGTCTC